AACATCAGTAAACTCATTGTTTTCTGGAATTTTTCAAATATTAAAGAACAGCAAGATTATTTTTGCTTTAATTTCTTGATTTTTGCTAACAAAGCCTTGAAACTGAACTAGGGTTTGTATTACTCATCTATTGTTCTCACTGATCATTACTTACAGCTTAATTAATTTTTACGTCTAAGAAGTGACACTTATCTATCTGTTTTTTTAATACTTGGTTTTCAGAAAAGCATTAATTCAGAGTTGAGTATAAGGTAATCCTCTGCCTCGAGTAACTGGCAAAACAACAGCAAAATATTTGAAGAATTGTTCCACTACAAAAAAAAAAAAAGAAGGAAAAAGACACCAGGAAAGGGCATCTTATCTTCATGCTGGAGAAACTGAATGCACTACTCTGGGGACTACTGTTGCTTGATGGGTCAGTCCTACCCTACTTTTTCCCAGTTTGGACCCCCGTTTGAGTGTGATTATCTGCCTCCAGAAATGACAGCTGCTGAAGGGGTCCCTCTGGTGCTCTTCATGCTCCATCCTGCTTCTCCCTGATTGCTCTTGCCGTTTCACAGCATCATGCAGTGCAGCTGCCATCTCTCTGAACGCTCTCTGCAACAGTGGCGGCCAGTCCTGTTCCATGAGCAATATCATCACTATCATCACTTCTCTACTGGGATTAGAGAAACTAGTACTAGTACATTCCCTCTAAATAAAGGTGGATTTAGTTGTAGAAGTGACTGAAAAAATTAAATTGCCTGTTCTCAAGCAAAAGTTAATGCAGTTGCAATCATTATTCCAAGATGAGAACCACACTGAAAAAAGATGACTGATACATACAGCTATGTTGGAGCTGGTACTTCAGCCTCCAGAGCATTTCCTGCCAATTTGGCAATAACCATTTCCTGGCTAATAAACACAGTCTCGGAGTTTATTTGCCTTAATCACCTTGGCCTTCCGCCTCAGAGTTCATCCAGGCCAAAACAATGCTATTGCATCTCTTTTCAGACACATCCTGATGTCAGAACTACACCCAGCAGAGGAACAGGACTGAGGACATGGCACTGCTGGACCTCAGCAAAGGGAGCTACTGCTAGTGGCATTGTTTGAACTGTTGAAATGTTCCTGTGTTGGATCCTACAGATCTGCTATTGCTTGTTGTGTTGCTTCCCAGTTTTCAGCATATTGGCACATTTTACTTGGATTAGTCTGTATGGGTTATTCCTAAATGCAGCTGCTGACAAGAACTTATACCTATGGTAGCAAATAAAACAAGTTCTGTACTAACACCTTTGAAGAATGTTAAGAATCAAACCAACAGCAATGGAATGAAGCAAACATGGTCATAAATTGACTTGTGTCGCACTTACTGTCCCGGCATCTCAACAGAAAACCTCCTTCAGTATTTTGTTCAGTGCATAAGCCCTTTGAATGCCTAAGAGAAACAAACAAATTCAAACAAATCAATCAAAACAACCTCAATATAATACTTTCTTGTTACACGTGTGACATTTCTCCCTCCTTTATCCATACCTAAAGCCACGTTTGGATGATACCATTTTCTCTCTCTAAGACAAGATAAAAGACAACTTTCAGTCAATATTTCTACACAGAAAATGGTGCTTCCAAGCCTTAGAAATGCCTGGCTTCACTGCATTTTACTATGCTGCCCAGAAAACTTGACCCCATCTGGCCTCTTGAGCAATTGGAGTCTGATGGAAACCATCCTCTGATTAAATCACCAGTAATACTACCTAACAGAAGTGTTTCTCTCAGTTGTTCTAGTCATTTAGGCAAGACTGTTTACTCTGATGCTCACTTTTAGACGACACATTGTGTAGAGTAACTGAAAAACGTACTGGCAGATGCTACATCTAAGAATAATGTGAAGCAGTCAGGTGGTTTGCACAGGGAAAACTGCTTATGAAGATAAGTAAACCAACAAACACTCTTGTTAAGTTAAATCCTAATTAGGAATATTTTCCTGATGGTGAATTATCAATAAATTATAAATTTGGTTTTTAAATTAAAGGTTTTAAAACAAATGTCAGAGCATTTACAAATGATGTGTAGAGACTGATTATAAATTAGGATTTCTGCCTCCATGCCTCCAAAGTAGGACCCTGACCTGCTATTTTTGATCGTATAGGACAATTACTCTTGATATTTAAATTTGATGAATTTGACATTGGTTGTTTGCTCACCATTTTAATTTGCTTTAAACTTCTGTTTTTTTCATATATTAAATTCATGCAGTCAATTCACAACCAAGCATGCTTCCAAGGCTAATGCCCCCCAAATCCCCAAACCAAACCAAATCCGGCCCCTGAAGACTGATTGTTATTGTTCTTTCCTCAATGGGTATAATTTGGGGGGGCAGACTAGGCTACTGATTAGGCTGATGGGCTACCAAAACTATGATGTGACATTCAGCAACAGTGCTATCTGAACACAGGCAAGGTTCTTGCTCATGCCTCACCACATTGACTTTTCAGTCCCATGTCAACCTCTTCCCAGGACAGATGCTAGTGTCAGCACGGGACTTTCTGGATCAGGGAATTAATCTCACTGAAAAATAAACCGGGAGAAATGCTAAATTACATTTTCCAGTTAGGAAAGCTCCCCAGCATGGGTCACTGCTCAGCTTGTGCCCCAACAGTGCAGGAGGCAGTGGAGAGGAACCAATGACAGGATCAGAACATTGCTTGTTGGATTTGTGTAGGTGAGGATTACACAGCTAATGGCAAGCCTGCTGAAGCTGAGCTTGGCAGTGCTGCTGCTCCCTCCTCCCCTGCGATGCCCCTCGGTTGTGATTGTGCAACTGGTCAGCAAACAGAGCAGAGAGCTTAAGCCAAAAAATAACCCCACAAATGAGTGTCTGCTTATTTTAGCTGGGTTGACTTTCTGAATCATTTCAGTGCATGGTGCCATGGACAGTCACGCTAACATGGTGAAGGAGCACAAGGAAATGGAGGGGCTGGAAGGATAGGGTGGGGATGGATGGGGTGGGGACTGCCTGCAGTGTCCCTGTTGCTGGAAAACATCAGTGTAGCTGTAATGAGACTGTCACTGCAGGAAAATCTATGAGTACCGTCTGGCCTCCATGGGTCATCATTGTCCATGTTACTGCTTTTCTTTTGGAACCGATTGATTTCAAATCATCAGGTTTCACCTGTGATACTACCCTGTCCACAGGCTTCCATGGGAATTCCACCTAGAAAAGGTCCTGAGGTTTTGCACAGGAGACCAGCAGCTCACCACGAAAAAATATCATTTCACAAATTCAACATTACCATTTTCTTTATCTGCAAAATGTTTGCAAGCAAACCATGATTCTAACAGATATCATTTTGGAAGCTGTGTTTACAGCAAATTTCAGCTGTTTACTACAGATATTTCTTTGAGAAGATAATACTCAAGACTGCTTATCTAAGAGATGTGATCTCTTAAATCATAATTTAGTATTTCAATTTCTGACTGTCTAACCAAATTATTGTGTATTTGCTTTTCTGGTCAATAAAAATGTAATCACAAAATAAAACTGCTCTGTGATTAAATAAATCAAAGCCTTTATCTCAAGAAATGAATGCAACTTACTTTATCTGAGTTTATCTGAATAATCACGTGAATGTAGCTTTACTGACATTATACATAACAAAATCATCGTTTAAATACTTTTTAACATGCATCTGTTAATACTCTGCTAACTGGAAAAGAAGACGGGGAAGTCACAACATGAGAAAGTTGTGATGGCCTCAAGGAGGTAAAGCACATTTTGACAGTGCACTGGCTCATAAGCTCTTCATATTCATACTGCTCAAAGTATTCATCTTTAACACCAGCCATTATGGGAATGTATCTCCTAAATCAGCTGTAGCACTAAAGGCTTGAGAGGCTGTCCATGATTTTGCCTGCTTTGTAAAATAACCCAAGGTTGGATTCTGAAAAGCACAGCTCTATAAACCTTCTAAACATATCTGACAAATGTATTGAGATGATATTGAAAGAGAGAAAGCAAAAATGCCTAGAAATTCATGGGATGCTATGCTAATGTCTAACTAGCATGCTTTCTGCACAAGACAATCACGTTCCAGCAATCTCACAGCATTACTTAAAAACTGTCATAAAATGATAGAAAAGGGAGAGTATTTTACTTTTTTTTTTAGTCTTTCAGGACACTGTTTAAGAAATTAAGTGGCCCTGAAATAAGAATCAAATAATATAAAGGAACAGGCTAAAAATAAAAACTAAAAAAAAAAAAAGAGATTTATGCTGTAACTGATAAAAATTAGGAACAGGTGCTTCAAGGTTGTGTATTAATTCCATTATCATTTAAGATATTACCATCTGGAAGAGGAAATACTAGATAAAAAATCTGCAGATTATACATGTAAGTTAATTATAAAAGAACTCCCCACAGGCACAGGCCATGGTACTTAAGAGAGATTTAGTAAGAACATATAAATGGACAACATGATAGCGAATGAAAATTTAATAGTGACAAATACAATATAACAAACACTGGAGATGAAAATGTAAACCACCCATACACTTTCAAAGGCTCTAAATTAATTTGATCAGCTCGAAAAAAGTACCTGTGCATGAATCTAGTCAGCTTCTTGAATACCTCTGGTAAACACACAAGATAGCCATGAAAGCTAAAATGATGCTGTGGTCAGGGTATATGTAATAACATTAAACAAATTTGTGGAGTATCTCCACATGGCAACTTTTGCCCAGTTTCATGTCCTCTCTCAAACATTTCATTTTTGATGGAGATGAAAGGAGCCAAGTGAGAGGTGGCACTTTTGAGGGAGTGCAAAGGGGTCTACATGTTACACTGATAATAGGGAACCTATGTGCACACAGAGTGTGATGTAGCACAACTCTAACCCAGTTTCTAAGCACAAAAATTTAAGAAACACAAAAATGATTAACTATGTGTTAGAATAGCAAAAGTTCACAATGCTGCTGCATATTTCTGTACCCAAAAGTTAACACGAATATGTGTTTATTCCAGGTCTATCTTCAACCATTACAGATGTGGATGATATGCACTGAGGACAAAAGTATCTTTATCTGCCAGCTGTTCATCTACTTCTACGTTCTTCTTCATCATTCTTGTCACCTCTAAATATAAGGTATAATACTAGACCTATCTAAAGTCTAATCCAGACTGGGAATGCTTATGTATCTATACTTTTATTTTGTAGAACCAAAAGGCTACAGAGTCAAACCATTATTTTATTCCAGATTAAATTTTCTGGTATTCAAAATCAAGTGTTCCATTGTCACACAGAAAATTATCTGTGTAGATATAACCTTAAGTAGAGATACCTAAGGTTATTAGAATGGAAATTATTGAAGAGAAAACCAGAATGGATGGCACTGGAGAGAAAATGGGAGCAGAGGATCTTCACTGAAAGCTTCTAGAGCCATAAAGATCAATTCATTAACAACTTTCCTCCCATTTTCTTGTCAGTGGCAACAGTGATCTTGCAATATTGGAAAACCAAAGAGAAGCTGAGAGATTTGTCCATCAGCCTCCCAGAACCAGAACACCAAGTCTAGGGGGACCAAAGGAAAAAGGTCGGAAGATTTATGCCCTAGTTCCCCCATGCTGACATACCAGAGGTAGAGTGGCAGCAAAAGGATTTGTTGACCAGTTTCTTCAGCTAAAGTCACAGGGTTGGCCACCAACGTACCCACTTACTACCATGTCAGACCTTACACCAGAGAAAGCAAAGCAGGGTCAGGGATCTCAGCTGCTGACGGAGTCTGCCTCAGGGTCTTGAATAACTCTTGCTAAGAAGGTCTGGGTAAATAAATAGGAGTTAGGCACACACATGGGATGGGGACATAATTTAAAATTTGAATACAACTGCTTGAGACTTCTAAGGCCCTCCTGCAAGATGGGGAAAAGTAACATTCCTGTTCTGAATTTATTAGAAAGGTTAGGAACTTCCTTGTAGTCGTTTGTATGAACTGTCCTGTGCAGAGCTGCTTCTAGCACTATGACAATCTGCAGCGAAGTCCCTGAGGGCTGATGATGAAAAATAGAGATGGTATTTCTGCCACATAGACTGCGTTGCAAAGGGGCATGTCAAGGGGTAGAAAGCCTATAAATAGACCCATTGTAATACTTTTACAAATGGCTTGAGAACAAAAAGTAGAGCACGCTAATGAAATCTTCAAATAGTATTCAGGCACATCCAGTAAAAGATTATTAACAGTACTTTAAAAGGAAAAACTAAATTACTTTGATGCATGAAATAATAGAAATGGCATGAAGCTTTTTACTGTAAGACTTCTGGGATTAACACCCTAAAACTCCTGTTGCAATGTACATATGCATACCAGGAGATTATGGGATGACTAAACCACTAAAATGATGCAAATGTGAAACTAGTGGAATCAATTTTACAACCTTGGTCTATGCATTTCCAACAGAGCTACAGAAAAAGCAAATTCCTTGTAAAATGTAGTCTGGAATATCACCATTCTGGTGGTCATTTTTTGAGATAAGTAATTCATGTCAGGACAGGAAAAGCACTATTTATGGAAGGAACTTATTTATGGGAAGAAACCTCTTCTAATTCTATATGAATTCCCAAAATGAAGAATAAGGGCAACAGAACTTTTTAAATATACCTAGAATAAACATGCAGAAGGAAGAAAATCTAACTGGGATAAAGAGCAATATCTATCCCTGTGCCAGCAAACCAGCAGCAAATACAGTGAAAAGTAAATAAGATGGAAGTCAGAGAGATTTACAACTTTCAGAAGTCAAACTCCAGAATAGCCGTGCAATGCGATGTGAGGACAAGAAACTTGCTCACCTCAGACAGTGTTAGCTTATGTCTGCACATGACTCTGCAATGTGAGCAGCTTAAACTGAGAACTGTAAGGCACTTCTGATTTATCATGTTGTTCTCATAGATGACATACAACCTTTTTTCTTGGTTGACTTCATTAGGCTGCTCTAGATCTGGTCACACCAACTACCCAGACGGACAATACTAATCTCTGATAAGGCTGAAAAGTGTTTGGACTATTTGGTATAACTGGAGCTGCTAAAGGATCTTTCTGATATGTCAACACACCAAGAAAATTAATACCTTTTTTTTTTTTTTTTTAATGAAACAGTCAAATCCCCTTCAGACTGGCAAGAGGAGGCCATTTCCAATAGTGCAGTGTCGCAGTGAAAGGGAGCCAGTAGGGAGGTGCAAAATCGAGGCAAGACTTTCCCTGGTTCAAAACCACAGTGACAGTGGTTATCTGCCCTGGAAACATGTCAGGTCAGAGTGATGCCCACAGTTTGTACTAACCTGTCACCCAGACATCTCCTAAGGCACATTGTTATGTTTCATCCATATAACTCAAGGAAGGGGAGAAAAAAATCCTTTGAAAATTCTAGTTTATTCTGGAAATGCCAAAGATGAAAAATCTTGTCACCCTTAGGATAAGCTCAGATAAGCACTGTACCCTGTCATTTGGTTTTCAGGGAGCTTTTATAACCTATAGATTCATGCTGAAGCAGCAGTTTGGTTCTATGTAATGACCATACTATCTGTGTATCCTCAGCTACCAGAGAATCTGTAACTCACAGGGCAGCTGCTTTCTACTACTTACTGCTTCTGTGTATGGAAGAGACATACAGAGAAACTAAGGATGAGTCCTGTTACATATTTCTGCTGTGACTTCAGAAGTTAACCATCTTTAGATAGCCAATGCCCTATTAAATACTGGACCTTTCTCTGTTGCAGTTGATTTCTTTACATGACACACACCTATGGCAATTGTAGAGGGGACAGGTCAGCTGAGTTATTAGCTTGCTTTCCCCTGCCTGCCTTCAAAACAGGAAATGGATAGATGATGAGCTAACCTGCAAGTGCTCCATAGTATTTATGCAGCCAGGAGAAAAACTTTTGGCCAAAAGTTCTCAGCTTATGTCAGAGCTGCTTAAGTGAAAACCTCCAAAGCAGTATAGCATATTCCCAAATACTGCAAGTAGAACAATCTCATACATGCATGTGTTTTAAGCTGCAAAGGTTTCCTTGGCACCTTCTTCTGTGAGCTAGCACAGATGTTTCACCTGCTGGCTTCTCCAAACCCCACTCTTTTATGCCTATGTAACACACAGGGAGAGTCAAGCCTCCAGATTAGGCCCATGCTTTCCTAGCACAAGGACGGTAAATCTTACCTCATGGTCTTGCTGAGGACTTCCACTTAGGTCCTCAGTTTTTATGCAGGACTAGTGAGAACATGGTTGTGGCTTAAGTTATCGAGAGGAAGGAAAAGCTACCTCCTAATCAAATGGCCTTGGGAATAAACTATTAGAAGTAGGAAGCCCTTTGCAGGCATCTTTAGAGCAGGGTCAGAACAGAACTATTTCAGAGGAGAGAATAAAGCATCAGGACTGTAGCCTATGCTCATCAAAAGAATGGCTTAATCTTGTGAATGACACTTACATGAAACACGTAAGTGACTACAGACAGTAGCCTAAAATACACTGGTGCTGTATTGATCTCAGTTGGGTTGGTAAACTTGCCTTCACAGCAGTCTTGAGATGAAAGAGGCAGTAAGCTGACAATCTGAGTTGGCCTTTTGTGTGCTTGAACATAGATATCTGCTGCATGAAGATTTTTAAGTGTTTGATATGGATAAGATGAAACAGGCTAGCTTAAGCTATCATCCTACCATGGAGTGTAGTAAAGTGTTCCCAAACACCCCAGAAGACCATGGTAGAGGTAGCACAGAGGCTGTGTGAAGGGTTACTAAGTATTTTCCTAGTACTTAGTGTAAGTTATTGCTGATAAACTTCCAAATGTAAATCATAAGCAACATGTTCTGGTAAACCAGCCATAAATCCTAAAGATAACTCTGAAGGTCAAAATAGCTAAACTTAGTGACTGCTATATTCAGCCTCCCCTTTCTTGGGACACTGAAGTGCTAACCAACACGGTGGTTGCTAGACAAGCAGAGCCAGGGAGAAATGGAACATAAGCAGATAAAAAACAAATACAGAAGGTTTCCTGTAAAACAATTCACTCACTTGTTTTAAACAATGCTTAAGGTCTTACTATTACAGCTTCAAACACAAAGGAATAAATGTCACAAGATACCAAAAGTCTAGATCTAGTAACACAACCCACCTAGCCTACATTTTTTTTCCTTCTACTGACATTTTGTCTCCTGGAGACAATCCCGTTTACCCCAATGCAAAGGCTTGCTTGTGAAAAGCCAGGTTGAGAGCAAGAGGTGTGTGCCTCATTTCTTGGGCAGAATATTAGTTTAATAAATACTGAGTGTGACTCAGTCATCTGCCTGCCTGCCATCCTCCTGAGTTCCCCTTCTGCAGGCTGCTGCTGTGGCAACCCAACTGCTGCCCTGTGTTCTGCCATGGCTGCTCTGGGCCACTGTCACTGTTCACTGCTCTGTGTCACAGGTACCGCACATACACAACTGCACATGCACTGATTCTCTATAACCCCATTCTTAGCTCCTGTATCTCTGTGTAGCACTGGTTAATATGGTTTGTACCTTCCTTTCAGTAACACACAGTCTTACAATATGCAGATTGTTCACTTTAATGCCTAATATTTTACCTCTTCCCAGTTAACCTCACAGCACATTCAGTTCCTAGCTGAACTCTACTCCTAATGAAATTGAGAACTTGAATTACTCCAATGACTAATCTAGATTTGCAGCATTGCATACTGTTGCTTTGTAAGAAATAAACTGAAGAGCCAATGTCTAACTAAGAGCATGAGCAATCTGAAGAAACTGAAATTGTACCAAATAAGTCTATTTTTCATTACTCCAGTGAAGCTCTCATTGTTTTACTTGCAGCTGTAGACCTTCAGTGATGCTACATGTACACACCAGAAATCAAGTGAAGACCCATAAAATAGGACACACTTCAAAAATACGAAGCCTGGTTAAGCCCCTCACTAAAGCAATGCAAGAATGGCCAGGCAGACAGGTACTTTCCCAGAGTTCCTAGAATCTGCTTAATCATTTTCATACATCTTGCACTTCCTCAACAGGAAAGGTATAAGGTTCCTACTATGGACAAGCTGCTCCTCCCTCAGCTTCTCTGATTTAGAGTTAGATCTTAATTTATTCACTAAAAAGACTTTGAGAAATAACAGGAAGAGTACCATTCTCTGCATGCTGAAGGAAAGCAGGAGTAAGGGAGAAATGAATGATGATCACAGAGACTTCAGCCAGAACCTCCCTGTGAGGGGCCAGGCCATGCTCTGGAGGATGAGACACGCAGTCCAGTCACACTGAGAGCTGTGAGGGAAAGGACTGCTCTGAGATGCTCTGTGAACATTCAGATGAATTGTCATTGAGAAAGGAAATTGCAGGCTACATTTGCTTTATCAAATCAAGTACATACAAGCCTTCTTGGTTTATCAGTTTAAATGTGGCCAAACACAAACTGATTATCAGGAATGGGAAGAGACACTTTCCAATCAAAATTTTGCTTTTTTTCAAACTTTAAGCCCATTAAAAAAAAAAAAAAGTGGCTTTCTGCAAAAGCCTCAGTTCAATCTTTCAAATTTATTTTTCTCTAGCTTTGTTCTCAGAAGCAACTACCATTTTAGCACAATTATAAGCATTCTCTAAGCTTGTCACAGCTACCTTGCACAGAAACCTATATTCCCAAAATGTTAAACTTTGTCCAACTTGGAGCAAGGCAACAGAAAACCAGGCTCCTAATAGGAAGTACTGACCAACAGCACTGAGCAGTGCTACTAGACTTGCTTACGATAATTTTGGTGGAAGGTTTTCCTCAAGAGGGAAACAGTTACTTATAAGACTGTGTAACTTGACAGAGACCATTTGTATGGAAATCTAGCCAGGGTGTCCGAAGGAATTTAGCAGAATTGTTTGAAGTGACCCTGTCAAGTAGTTCATGCAGGTAGGAAATCTCCTGTGTCACTGGAGATGAGCATCACAAACTACCACAACTCGAGCAGCTAGTACTGGAGCCACTACTCTGAACAGACTTCTAGGCACTGATAAAAAGCCAGTAATTAATCAGAAAGCATTGCAGCAATTTATTTCCAATTATTTGCAGAATTTATTGCAGGATTTGTTGCACAAATCCAGCCAGTGAAGATGGATGTTAGGAAAAAGGTGCTTGGAAAAGGGAGCAAACTGAATGTCTTGGCCAGAAAAATGAGATCTACTGAAATAATAAGTGCAGGCCATGTGGGAAAAGATTTCTTGAAACCATTTGGGAAACAGTCTTAAGAGCACTAAGAAATTAAGAACAGGAAATAAATCAAGCTGCATGTCCTGATGGGAGAGAATGGTTTCAAAAGATTCTATCTAACCAATGCTGAATGATAAATTCCTCTCAAGATCACCACTTGCAAGTTCCCAATTGTCATTGTGCTTTCATACTATTGATGCAATTGCCTACTGACTTTGATTTCCTTAGCTCGTCTAACTTACTTAGTACTCAGTCACTTCTATTTACTTACCTTAGACTTTGTCAGATGCTCCTGACTACAACAGATATAGTGTAACTGTGTGTGTGCATAGGACCAATTAACACATATTTCAAACAAAATAAAACAAAAAAAAACAAAAACAACAAAAAAAAAAAAAAAGAAACAAAAAAAAAACCAAAACCAAAACAAAACCCCCCCCCCCCCCCCAAAAAAAAAAACACAAAAACCAAAACGCCCCAATCCCTAATGCATGACTAATTTACTATGAGGTCATTTTCCTTAACATTTTAATCTTCATCTATTTTCTTTAACATTTTAATCTTTAGCCAAAATTAGCACTAGCTGGCTGTTTTCAGCTGTGGAAGAAAGCAAGCTAGAGAAAGACTGCTAGAGCAGGAAGCATAGGCTCCACTACCTACAACACTCTTTCTGGCAGCAAAAGCTTTGAACTATTTTAAGGGTATTAACACCACAAAAGAGGGAAGTGCTAAGGAAGAATGTGATACATCTTTTTTAGCCAACAGCAGAAATAGCTTCAGCATTCACCCTGACATGATAAATGAACAATCAGCTTTTCTAAGGCTAGCCAAAAGAACATTAAAATTGTATATATAGCTGAGAGGAAATGTGACTACTTGAACATGTTCATTTTTACTGCAGATTACTCAGTCCTTCCACTGGAAATGAGGGCAAGACGCACCTGATGATATGATAAAATGCAAGATTTTGTCTACACATAGTGTATGCATTTGTGAAAAAAGGTGGATTTAATGAACATGTTACTTCTGAAGTATGCTCAGACAACTTCGGGGGAGAAGGGAAAGATACTAGTACTGGAATACTGTGCCCAGTTCTGGGCCCCTCAGTTTAAGAAGGACAGGGACCTGCTGGAGAGAGTCCAGCGCAGGGCAGTTAAGATGATTAAGGGAGTGGAGCACCTCCCTTATGAGCAAAGACTGAGGGAGCTGGGTCTCTATAGTTTGGAGAAGAGGAGATTGAGGGGTGACCTTATTAGTGTATATAAATATATAAAGGGGGAGTGTCACGAGGATGGAGCCAGGCTCTTCTCAGTGGCAAACAATGATAGGACAAGGGGAAATGGGTACAAACTGGAACACAAGAGGTTTCACTTAAACTTGAGAAGAAACTTCTTCTCAGTGAGGGTGATGGAACACTGGAACAGGCTGCCCAGGGAGGTTGTGGAGTCTCCTTCTTTGGAGACATTCAAAACCCGCCTGGACACGTTCCTGTGTAACCTTATCTAGGCATTCCTGCTCCAGCAGGGGTATTGGACTAGATGATCTTTTGAGGTCCCTTCCAATCTCTAACATACTGTGATACTGTGATACAGATTGATCAAACCACTATGCCTATTCAGAGAACTGACGGATGGATCCTAAGGTGTTATACCTTACCAGAGATGGAACAACCACCATGGCAGTACAGCCGAGGACTGACCGAGAAGGAAAACTGGAGGTCCTGGTGGACTGTGTGATGGACAACAAGAGTAGGGCCATTCCATGAGGGCTGATAAGCTGGGAACCAAGCCTGACCACAGGACAGGCAGGGCAGTGCCCTCACCAGCCAGGGTGCATTTCCATAGGATTTGGGCAGGACTGGATTGGTGATAGGTCTTCTTGAGAGGCCAAGACAAGGTGAGATAATGAGTGAGGTCCAGCCAGAAAGTCCAGCCATGAACAGCAGAAGACAGAATCAGAGACAAGGTCCACACGGGAGAAAGGGCTGAAGACAAAGCTATATATTACATAGACCCATCCAGGAAGGCTAACTGATAACCCAAGACAACAGGAGACTGCACTTGGCACAGGTAAACCTACAGTTCTGCACATACAAAGTCCCAGATCAGGGTGTCATGGCAATTAAGGCCCAGTCATGCACTTTATTTGGCCCTGACAGATACCGACCTAAACATGAGCTAGCGGAATGCCACGGCAGTGAGCAAGGCTACCTTTATAAAGACATACTAGGTTGTTTTTACAGTCATGAAGCCAGCAGATTGAGAGAATTATTAGTCACCTTTACTCAGTACTTGTTGGATCACATCTATAAAACCACATCACACTTTGAGCTTCCCAGTATGAGAAAGATGTTGACAAATTGCCCTGAGTGCAAGAAGATGGTGAGGGGGTGGAAAGGCTGAGGGAACTGCATCCAGTCAGAAGGCTTGAAAGAGAACCCAGGAGCTTCCTTCCAGTACCTGAAGGTACTTCTCCATCAAGGAAATGGAGCAAAACTCTACTAATGTGCATGGCAGCAGGATGAGAGGCAATATTCACATGGGGAGGTTATGATTTAGGGTCAAGAAACTTCACCATGACAACAACCAAGCGTTGGCACAGGTTGTCCAGATAAGCTGTGCACTCTTCATTCTCTGAGGTTTTTAAGACGCTGCTGGACTAACCTTTAAAGAACATGGTCAGAAGGTTGGTCTAGAGACATCTTGAGTCCCCCAACCTGACCGCTATTTTATTTTTATTGCTCGCATGGCTATTTGAGAGTGCTGCTGAACACAGGAGAATGAAGGACCTCAGAGAATATGGAAGAAGTTACTGAAGAATCTCATTTTGAATGCAAGCTACAAGTACAGAAACCTTCCACTGAAGTAATCCTTTACAGAACATAGAATTCTTTAAAACAGCTTTTTTCATACTTTTCAGGTTTCTTAGACATTACCTCTTTGTACACAAACTTCTAAGTCTTTAGCTTGTCTTACTGTTCTTGAAAGCAAGACTGATTGTACATTGTACTGTTTGCCCAATAAACACACTTCAAAATTTGTGTGTTGTCACACTTTCACTACCTTTAAACCCCTCCATCTCTGACTGTTGGTTCAATTTTCTTCATACTCAGGTCTCCGTTCAACACAGCCCTGCTGATCTCCCCACCGGCTTCAGCTGTGAATTGAATGTTATCCTGAAATACATTTAATGTTTTAACACTAATTACATTACCTCCTAGGTAAACCACAAAATCAAACTTTTACACGGTTCTGTTGATACTTGTAATCTTGTCTAGTAGCGAGCACTGCCATGTCCCTTGCAGCATTGAAAGCTGTCATTTCTTGGGAAAAAAATACTTGGGTTCTTCTTTTGAGTAGGAAAGACGTATTTCTTGCGGTCATTCAATTTCCTTGATCCTCTTCTCTGCCTTTGGCTATTACATTGTATCACCTGCATGTAAACATTGCACATTTACACTCAACTTATGTGAACAATCTGTGAGTGTTTAAGACTTGAATCAGACTGCTCAGTTACCTGGTATGTCTCACACTTCATGCAAGTTCAGTTGCATAAGATCAGCTAATGTCACCTCAAGGTTGACGTTGGCAGAATGAGAACCTCATTGGAAAGACCTATTGCTAGTGGAGTGGTGTAGTGGATCTGACGCTGCCCAGTGGTCCGTGCTGTACGGGGATAACTGTGGAGATCCAGCTTGACCCTATACACTGAACACACCTTGGCATTTGCAGATCTTCTGATTTAGTTTCATCTGAAGGTATCAAGGCTCCAATCCTGCCCCAGTGCACAAACTAAAGTGGAAACCATCATATTTTATTAAAAAGCAAACTCCTAAACCAAACTGAAACACAGGCAAAAGCACAGAGCCCATTTGCTCCTACAGGTGTAGAACAGTGTTTTCTCCAGTGTATTTTTCAGAGTTACGCCGTCTTGTAACTCACATCCAGTAACGTGACATGACCCCAAGATGGAGTTACGTGGAGAAAAATGCATTTCAGATCAGTTTTAAGCCTTGGCAGTTCCATTTGTAAACACGCTGGCCAACTTCTCCACTCCCCATCACTTTCTAAGCTGTATTTAAAGATTAATCCCGCTCACCCTACTGAAAACTCGCCAGCACCTCTAAGCGACTGGCGCCCGCGGTCTCACTAACGCCCGAGTTCACCGGCCCGCCCTCGGAAACACGACGGAACCGGGCGGCACCAGAACAAGGCTCCCGCCCTGCCCTCCGCCGCTGCCGCCTCAGCCCTGACCGAGCCCGGCCGGGGACAGCTCGCAGCGCCCCTGCCTGCACAGGTGGCGCACACCCCCGCGGGCCCCGGCAGGTGCGGCAGTCTCGAACCGGCGGTGGGCGGTGCCGGGCCCAGCCCCGGGGTCCGCAGGTCCCGCCGCGTGTCCCGGGCCCGCCCCGGAGGTGGGGCGAGCGGGGAGGGGCGCGCGCGCCCGGGGGGGAGGAGGAGGAAGGCCGGTGGCGCGGAGGGTGGGGGCTGTCTCCGGCAGCGACGCGGCCCCCCAGCTGGGTGGCGGGAGGACACGCTGCGGCGCCGGCGCTTCCCCTCCCCGCCCTAGCCGAGCCGAGCCGAGCCGAGCCGCGCCTGGGATTGGCTGCGCGGTCGCCTCGTCCCAGAATGCAGCGCATGGCGCGTCATTGAAGAGAGACCATGATGGCGGCGGCGGCCGCGGTTGCGGCCCCCGAGGTGATCGCCCAGCTGGAGAACGCGGCCAAAGTGCTCATGGTGAGGCGGTGCGCGCAGTGCCCGGACAGTCCGCTCCGCTCCCCGCTTCCTTTCCCGTCTCCGATCACGCCTCTCGTGGAGCCTCCCGTCTCCCTCGCCCCTCAGGCGTGGGGCTCCGGAGCAGACCGCCGGGGCGCGGTGCTTTCGCTGCCCCATCCGCGCCTTCTCCCGCTTCCCGGCCGGAATCCCCTGCGCGGTGCCTGTTCGTCCTTGTTGCCCCGCAGCCGGGGCTGGCCTCAGCCGCGCACGCTGTGCCGGTTCTCCATGTGCTGTCCCCTCTGCCCCCGTCTCCGGCAGGCTGGCGGCTTCCCGCCCCGGCGGAGTGTCCTGTCCCCTCACGCCCCGACCCCCTGCATCGCCATTGTCCGCCGCAGAAACCTGTGCCGAAGTTGCCTGCGGGTACCTTGTCTCCCGGCAAGGGAGCTGGGCCCCGGGGCGCTTCCCTCGGCGGCGGCAGGGTGGAGGGGGTCCTGCCCGCTGCGCGGTCCCGGCCTTCCAGAGTTTTCCTTTCAGTAGAGTAGCGCGGGGCGGCCAGAGCTCACGGTGGTGCCGCCTCGGAGCGGATGGTGGCACTTGGCGTCCTGGTCTGTTTATTAGCAGTTAACTGTCCATGCCCCTGTGAATGTATTGTGTGCCGCTTTCCATGACTGACTGCATGGAGAAGAAAGTCCGTGCGGCAAAGAGCAGAAATGAGATGGAGCTAAATGCACGTAGTGACCGTTGGTGTTAAAACATCCTAGTCACACATCGTTGTAAAAGTTGTTTGCCTGAAAAGGTGTATATTGGGCTATGCCTTTTACATGTTAGTCGTTTACAGATTTAGATCTTCTAAAAATGTTCAGCTGAAAACCTTCCCCACAAAATTTATCTTACCAAACTGTGATTCCAACAGAAGTGAAGTTTGCAAGTTGTTGGCATCGAAAGAATTCAGAAGAACCAGGCAACCAGTAGGAAAGTTTCCCTGGTATCCGTAATTGATCAATGGCAAGAGCCTGGATGACTGTGTTTGATGTTTGGCTGAAGCAGCCTCACTGAAGTGACAGACGATTAGCTCTACTCATGAGTGTTCTCATCAAAATACATGCGTGTTGCTCCATGTGAAATCAAAGCCAGAAAATCACTGACCGTGTTTCCAAATGGGAAAGTAAGGTTGGATAGCTTAGCAACAAGCCCTAACCCTTTTAGAAAAAAGCTTCTCAAAAGTATATGAACAGTGATACTACGTTTTAAGCTGTGGGCTGCCTTTGGTTCATGGATGTCTTGGCAAAACATAACTGTGCACATTATTGCACCTTCTTGTAAGGTCTGTGTATCTCAGTTTTAAAAATAACACAGTTGCTGAAATTACCAGCAGTGTTTGACTGCGTAGGGGAAATCTGTAATGAGTGTTATTATGAGACACAACACGTGTGTGGAAGGAAGCTGGTGGTTAGGTAGTTTTCGCTATCAAACTGATAGCACATGAGGTGGCATCTCCAAAGTTTTGTAGCTGTGCTAGAAAAGTTAACGTTACTTGTGTTGGCATTATCTCCCTACCATATCCTTGCTAGCATAGAGAGGGAAAAGCAGCTTAATGTGGAGTTAAGTATGAGTGCTAATACAATGACAAGATGTGAGCCTCTTATGATAACATTTGTGCTTCTGTTGAAGAGTAGCTATTAAACTTGCTGGTAAAAACATGCCTTGGTTCTGCAGGCATGTGGTTGTTGGGATCCTTGTTGAATTCCTAGCGTCCTTTCTCCCTCCAGTCTCTGACAATGAAAACTGACTTGCTGTAATCATTAGCTTTTTCTTGTTCTTTTCCGTTTTCCACAGATGCTCTTGGAAATTTCATAGGCAACCCTGAACTGACAAGAATTAGTTAGATGGCTCTTACGGAGGAAACATATTTAGTAAAGCTGTCACTGAGGGTAAAGACCCAGAATTGGGCTTTGAACTTGGCTGGCTGTAGAAGAGCTGTGAGAACTGTTTAGGGTTATTGCTTTGTGCTCCTTCTCAAAAATCAAGTCTTTGGAGTGATGGCGGAGAGGAGGAGTGCAGCTAACTGGGTGCTTTACAAAGGCAGATGTGAGACCACAGAGACTGAAAGGGTTATTTGCACTGCTCTTTCTCACTAGCAACTATGGAAGAACCTGAATAGTAGTGATCTTAATTTACACTGGTAAAATCTCATAAGTCTGCTTTGGGGTTAGGGCAGGAAGTACCTGTATGAGGCAGTTTGGAGGTGTGAACTGATGAAGCGATCTGGTGGGATCACTTGGAAAGGTATGTGAAAATCTGAGTACTTGAGGGAGGGTTGTGCAAGTAATGAGGGTCCTGGGTAGAGCCTGGCGCCTTGCAGTGGAGCCATATCTGAAGTGGTAACTGAGGGCAGAGCTGTGAATTGTCTGACAATAGGTGGCAGCAGGTTTCAACTGGGCAGGGAGTTGTGCAGGGATTCAGGGAGGTTTTCTCATGGCAGATCTGTGGCAGCTGAGACTGTAGCAATTCTTGCAAAATACAGATGGCTGGGGAGGCATCAAAGGTGGTGCAGTGTATCTGAGGATGGAGCAGGGAGTGGTGGTGGTTTATGTGATACTTGTCTTGATTTCAAACTGAAATACTGAGCCTTGAGGAGACTAATGGACTGGAGGAACTCAGACATGCTAATAAAAAAACCTGAATGTGTTCTTTTAGGGTAAGTATAGGTTACTGTGAGCTCTCTGTATCTTTGGTAAGTTTTTTTTTTTTTGTTTTATTTTGTTTTTTTTTTCCTGCTGCTTTAGATTAGTTAAATTTTCCTTTGGAAAACTGCTTTTTGTATGTCAGATAAGAGATAAGCTAGCTCTGATCTCATAAATTGCTGATCTGTATGGACTCTACAAATCATGGTGTTCAGTATATGAAAACTGGAAAGAGTTGGTTTGTTCTCTCATCAGGTGCGGTTACCAGCACCAGTTACCTTTGTTACCAGTAACACCGTTTAACAAGTTTTTTGTTAAAAGGTTCAAAACGTTCAAAAAGCCTAGATTGGGAAATTATTGAATTTTCATGTAAGTTGAGTTGTTATAAAAGGTGAAACTTGAGTTGTCATTAGCTGTCAAATATGACAGCTTTGAATGCTGGTCCTGTGACAGTTTTCTCTGGTGTGTTTAAAAGCATTTCCTATATGAAAGAGTATGTGCTTTTGGGGTTCTTAATTCCTCTCCATCAAAGCTAAATGGTGTTTACTTCAAGTAAGGTCCCCATAGTGCACTGTAACTTAAATCATGAAGTGGTGTGTGGCATTTCAGTGCCACAGACTGACGTACACTTTTGATCTTTGTGACTTCGGCTTGGTGAAGATCATACACCAGCATCTGTATGAGTCACATGAATTTACTGCTCCTCCGTTTCCAACTGGCATGGCATCCCCCAACCAAATGTATAGGGTTTCTATGTATTATGTTCTGTGTAGCTCAGGTGCTAATTAATGCTGAATATAATTAGTTAAGCACTGTCTTAATAGATGTCTTAATGAATCATAGAAGACATAGGTTGCATTATTAAGGAAAGAAATGTAAATGTCATCCCATAGGTGAGAGGATGAAGTAGGAAGCGTAAGACTGTTCAGTTATTGATTAGTGTATTAGAGCAGGTTGAAATTTTATAGCAGATGATGTGCTGTGATACCTAAATGTAAATTCACAGGTTATAGGTTATTGTCCTCACCCCTCCAAAAAGGGGTGCTCTGTCCCTACCTACAGCTTCACTTTCTCCCATCTGCTGAACGTGCTAATATTGCTAAAATGACA